ATAGATATATATATATATATAGATATATATAGATATATATATATATAGATATATATATATATTCTAAAAAAGCCTTGATTGCATCTGTAAGTGTTGCTCTGTGGTCAGTGGTATTGTTTGAGACAAAGATGAAAAGCATGAAAGGAGAACCTTGGAAATGCTTGTTTTTTTCAAGTTTGTTCACTCAGTTCTGCTAAGTATACTTGTCCTTTTTCTTTTTTCCTCCTCTTCGTTTTATCCTGGATTGCAAAGTCTGCAAATAGTAGACACCAGCATACTGATGCAAAACCTGACTGCCCATCTGTCAGGTACCGTATAGCTGGAATTTCTGATACATATATTTTACTATTTTTAAATTAATCCAACTCGTCCATCAAACTGTGACAAAAAGATTGTGAATAAACCAACTGTATTGGTATGATGATTGCTGAATGTATTAAGATCCGTCTAAACCTTACAGGACCACCGTGTTGTAGAATCAGCTTGGAGAGGAACACGTCTGTCGATAAAGTTGGCACTGAACAAAAGCTCAGCTGTTTCCCAAATGAACTCGATAATGTTGTTTTCCCAGAGAAGGCACGAATCATCACTCATTTGTTGGTAATTGATCAGGCACTGCGCTGACTGAATCAAAGTAGATAGTTCACAGTGAAAAGGCTGCACGGCCATCATTTTGTTTTCTGCAGGATCCAGTATGGTGATGAGCACACTGAGCTGTATTTCTGAGAACTCCACGACTGTCGTCAGAGTGTTATGTTGTTGTTGAAAATGTTTCTGTCCTGCTTGTGACCGAGCAGCAGCCACATGAGGGCAGTAGGTTTATGAAAATACCCCGGTAATGTCTCAAGTCAACAAAGTATGGCATCTCTGCAGAGGCATCCCCTCAGTTATCTACTCACTTCTGTGTCCCTAACCTTCAGGAAGTGTGTTTGAAGTCTGAAGGATGTGTGGGCTCGTAGAAGGAATTGCTGATCAGTGTGCTTTTAAAAGTGCATCAGAACCGTGCAGCCAGCCTGCATCTTCTCGCCTCGTACGTGTGTGTTCTTGTCTCCACAGAAGCAGCAGGAGCCGCCCTTGAGAAATTGTGAACAACTATTTCTCTCTTTCTCTTCTCACACCCACACACACACACACACACACACCATTATTCATGCAACATAAAATGGTCTCCTGAAACTCCAAAAACATGTAAAAGAAAAATGCTGCTGGCTTGTTCACAGTTCAGGAATCCCACTGGAGTTGATCAACAAACGAAGAACAACGCATGTCCCTTGGGAACTTGTGGGAAATTGATCACAGTGCAACATATCAATTTGTGGACTAATTACTATAATTTCTTTATAGATCTTAGTATATATACTGTATCGCTCGTGAACGCTTGCCTTTAACTTCTTCGGTTGTGCTCTGTACTCGTCTGAATCTGAGATACGTGGTCATTTGCATTTTGAGTGCATATTGTAGATAAAAATGAAGTCACTTGGGACTTAATGGAAGAAGATGAAGCTCTGCTGCTGGCTTAGATTTGTGAGTCAAAAAAAAAAGGAAAGTAGAATAAAAAGTTTCCGGAGTTTTAATCAGGAGCGACATCTCAACATAACTTGAGAGTGGGCTGACATATTGTTGGTGTGGGTGTGTGGGCTCATGTGGGCCTCAGGGACTAAAATAAGCCGGTTCTAATCAATAGCAGAGTTGACTTATTAGTTTGCCATTCCTGCACATTTGCTGGTGTGAATTCCAACTTCCAAACTATCATTTACTGTGGCACATTGTCAAGGTTTTCACAAGTTTGGCTCAGGAAAAAAAAAAACTTCCTTCAATTCAATGTTCTCTCAAGCTGTCTCATCAGAAACAGAAAAAAAAATGAAACAGAATGCATTAACTTTTCTGCAGTCATGATTGCCATAAATCCCAAGCCAAGGTGCTGTGGTGATATAGTGAGCCATTAGATATATGACAAATACATTCATTAGCTTCCTCGCAGCACCTCAGCTCCATGCTCTTACTCGGGGGGAAGCGAGGATACCTTTGTTGCCTCTAAAGGCTGTGGTATCGACCCCAGGGGTACTGGAGGAAAAGATGATTGAGAAAGATTGATCGACACGGCTCACCTTCAATTGCTATTCTTGGCCTATTGGTTATGATTATGAAAAATGGGTGACAGGCAAAGGGTTGTTTTGTCTCACCCCTACAGGTCAGGGAAATGTGAAGACTAGTGTCATGAAGGTCTACAAAGTTGCCTCGGTGAACTAACTGTGTAACAGTCAGACTTTTGCAAAGACTATGATAATCTTTTACGTTATCTGTCTTTGCTTTTATTTGATCCATTCTAGAGGTTTTGCTTTGTGTTGTTTTTTCCTTGTCTCATGTTATTAATTTAGTTTAGTCTGTTTCCTGTTTTATTTTGTAGGTTCACTCCTCATTCGTCAAGTTTTGTTTTATTTCCTGTGTTTGTGTGTTCCTATCTTTGTGATTGTCTAATTACCCCACTCTCCTTGTGTCTTTAGTCTGTTTCCCTTGTTTCATTGTCAGTGTCGCTCCTTGTTTTTTTTTTTGATATTTTGATATTCTAGTTTGTTACGTGACACCGTATGAAATGTTCAAATATTGTAAGCCCCATTTGATACATCAGGAAATGAAAAATAGATTAGCTGAACCATGAAGGCAATTGTGGAAACTGTGAATAGTTCGCTTTTAAAGGTCAGTCACACCTCATTTGCACAACATAATTGAATAATTTGCCTGGCGAATGCATATCTCATGAATGTCTAATTGATTTAATTTTAGACCAGGAGAAAGTCATAACAAGAAATGTGCACTTTTAAAAGCACTAGGTATACACACATCCAATCACATGAGTTGATCACCAACAGTTTTTGAGACAACTACAGTTAGACAAAATCCAGGATCGTTGCTGAGTGACAGATTTTATAAACAGCTGATCTACAGTCTGCTTCAATCTGTCCTAACGCAGAGCAAGCTGACAGCAAATGTGTCCCTCCTAACCTGCTGCACGAGCTGAGTGTAATGAAGGTGGTGCCATCCCCACTGTTAGCCCTTAATGTCCAACACAATAAGGTTGACTGCCTGCAATTTATTGCAGGTCACTGTCAACTTCTACTGCAACCGTGACTAATACAAAGTGCTATTTTCCTGGTTGAATTAACAATGCTAACAATGTTGTGATGAAAAAAAACGGTATGCTTGAAGAGAAAACTTGCACCGTTGACTCTGTAAAAAGGAATAGTTACACATTTTGGAAAGTAGGCTTTCTGGGCCAGAGTTAAAGTTACCGTGCATAGCATAACGGTGGATCAATTGGAAGAAATTAAATAGAATATTAATGAGAATAATCAGCTGAAAATAAGAATGATTGTGTTTTGGTGACCTAGAATGAGCTGTTTATATCTACATATGGAGCCTCTTCACAGAGCTGGTCTCTGTTTCTACAGTAGCCCAGAATGGACAAACCAAACACTGGCTCTAGATAGGGCCATTCACGGTCGCCAAATCCTACAGTCCACTTAACCTTTAACTAAGAAGATTAAAACTACTCTCATATCTGTACATGAAGTAGCCTGTGAAGCTTGAGCCAGGAGATAATTAGCTTAGCTTAGCACAAAGATTAGAAGTAGTTGGAACAGCTGGTCTTGTCCAACGAGATGCGTCACGTTAATTATTGAGCTTTAGAGGTGTTGACGGACTTATGAACTTCGAAGAGAGCCAGTAATGTAATAATTATTAATTAAAAACTATTCCACAAATACAATACTATAAAAGATTTAACTTTAAAACTGTATGAGCATAGGAAATGCCAACAATACCTCCACTATCTGCTATTTTCTAAATTCTAAACTTGTATCACCATAAAACAAAAAGCAATCTTCTTGCTTGAGTGGACCTCAGTATATCATCTGATGAGTGTTTTTTACTTAAATCATAGCAAGCCCAATCACTTTTTCTACTTATTCAGAGTGTTTGAATTTTTAAGAAAACTGACTACTGAATGTAATTAAACTATATAATATAATATATATATATATATATATAGATATAGATATAGATATATATATAGATATAGATATAGATCTATATATATAGATATAGATATAGATCTATATATATATATATATAGATATAGATCTATATATATAGATATATATATATAGATATAGATATATCCATTACAATGGTTGCAAGTGATTTAATAAAAGTGCCATATTTGTTTTATCATGCTCTTTCTCTCTCAATCCTGGGAGCTCTTTCCTCGATCCAGTATCTTACAATGCCCACACCATGGCCTCGCCAGTCCTGGGAACAGATCAATCTCTGAGGCTTGAGCAGTGGGAAGTTAATCTGTAAGAGGGGCCTGTTTGTTTATGCTTCGACATGTTCAGCTGTCAGTCAATGATCTTGGTGCATCTGTCCCGACAGCTGTGGAAGCTAACTTCCTTAATGATCCACCCAGGACCTGTCGACCTTCATCATTTATCAACCTCATTTTTCCACGATTACTGAAAAAGGCTGATAGTTGACCTAATAAGTGACTAGATTTTACATTTATATTTTAGGCCAAGGATCGGCAACCTTCGTTCCTTTTTTACTTTTTCTTGTTAATCAGTGTGCCAAAT